TTTACAAATCCCAAGGCCCGCCCACACGTGATAAATAGCATATACCCCTAAAACTATACACTGCTTACATGTTTAACAATAACACGTGTATCTAACCAAACTACACAGTACTGTGTACTGTAATGCAGTCATCTCCCAAATTATAACTATATGTAGAAATGAAGACTTAAAATGCTGTGGATGGGGAAAAATACATTTCTTAAATATAGATATTTCTGCCTTTCGGCTGCCACAGCAGCAAAAACGAACTTAATTCCTCTATTTTAATGAGAAATTATGATAATGGGTCAACACAGTTATACAGTTAACATAATATAGTATAATTATATAACCAAAGTTCAAAGTCTGCTCAAAAGCTGTCTCTGCTCATCTGAATAACAACAACATGCACCACACGCTCAAGCACAAGCATGCTTACGGCACACTGACACATGCACAAGCAAACATGGAGAACAAGAATGGCGCAAGATTAAGGAGGAAAATGTAGCACTGCTATGGTTATTATCCCACTACTTTTGCTTTTCTGTAGTTTAGAAAGCTGCTTGTTTTATTTTCACAAAGAGATACACTAAAAAGCAAAGCTAAAAAAGCTGCAGCTTATTCTAAATGAGCTGCACAGCTTCTCCCAGCTCCAGGCATGCAATTTAGGAAAACTGATTAAAACTTTGCATTTATGCAGAATAATTTAAAAGGATCTCAAATGCATAAAAAAATACTAGCTAGAAAATTAACCAGCAGGCAAATCTGCCTGCTGATTGAAGAACCAGCAAGGACCTTAAAATAAACTTAAGCAGACACCAGTGTAAATTATGAACTAGTTTAATTAGATCACTTAGGAAATCCCAAACTATAAAACAGAAAAGCTGTATCCATCTTCCATGATAACAGCTAAGTGACTAGTTAGTAAGCCAACCTTGACAATAAAATACAGTACTTTAATGTTATGCAACACAGACTTTGTAAATTAGACGTTCTGTGCACAAACCTTATATTGATGGCTTGCCATGAAGAGGGTGAGTCAGGTGCTCCAAATGTGTTAGCTAATGGTGGATAGTCGTAGTCATGGTGTGATCCCAGAGCGAACATGTCTTTTCGGGTGATGAGATTGAAGCACAAACAATCAGCTGCTGGGTTAACCAATGCATGTTGGGTTGATAGATTTGAAAAACATTTTCACCCAGCGTTGCACAAAAAATTACCCAATAAGACCTATATAAAAAAACGTACTAACCTAATTATAACTCATATCGGGGGAATTATTTCATAACCCAGCATTTTGTAAAGTGTGCATCCAAGGCATGTCCAAACTGCACTGCAGCACCATACCGACAGCAGAAGTAAAGAACCTGGATGGTCTGTCCAACCTCTGACAAGTAGAACTCAATATCTAACCTCAGGGCATGAATCCAGTTTCTCTGTTTCCAGTTGAGATGAACCCTGATCCAGAATCTCAACTGTTTCTGCAAAGAGCTGCAATGTGGCTCCCTTAATCAGTCAAACAGATTAAAGTTAGATGGTAAGACACAAAAAATATATATTCAAGTTTAAGGTTTTGTGATTTAGAATTGCAATTTTTTTCGTACTTTCTATTCTTTCTATAAGAAAAACTTTGACAGGATCCCCTTATCCATCAACATTTCATCTTTTGATTCTTGTATCTTCCAAACCTTTGGTATTTTTTTTATATTTTGTACATTTATATATCTGTTGTACTGTAGATTCTGGGATTATTACTGTACCTTAAGCATTGACAAATATTCAGTTACTTTGCTGCACATAAAGTAACAGCGCATAAAACAGATGTTTTATGCGCTGTTACTTTTCTTCTGCGCACCTTTAAAGATTTTCAGAAAGTTCATAGGTTAGAGTTTTCTTACCTGAATCGCCTAGAAATGCGTAAAGAATATTCCTCATCCCAAAAGATGAACTTGTGGAAATATATATTTGGCTTAAACTTGCTTTTTACAAACTCTACCAGAATTTATGGGGGTTATTAGACTCAGGGAGCTTTTGTCTGTTGTATAAAAGTCGTATTGCATTTATTTCATTTTATTGTTTTAGATTCTATTCCTGTAATATATTTGTGCAAAGGACCCCCTTGAAAATGAGATGTTATTTTAAATAAATGTAACATTTTAAATACTTCAAATATTGTGCTTTTGGTTGTGCAAATTCATAAAAATCATGACTAACGCTTATAAACCTTCCAATAAATCATAATGATTTTACAAATTTCAGGACCTGAGCCAATCATTAACATACACTGTCCTACAAATCTTTCTTAATGCATTTGCTGCTGCAGCCAATTAATGTCTGAAATGCAAAATTGTTAGTATTTGAAGGAAATGGAAAAATTAGGTTAAGGTTCTAACGTTAGCCCAGCTTGCTATCACCAATCCTGTGTCTAGTTCACTATAAGGGGCGATTCTGAAAATCAGGGACTTGCAGATGTTCTCACCAACTTCTGTCAGATTGTATAACAATCTGTAATGTGGCACCAATGAGGTGATATTGTTGCACAACTTTCTGTCATTAATACCTTGTCTGGCTCTCAAAAATGCAAATATCATGTTCTATAGCTCTAAAGATGTGTTCACACATTATCTTAACCAATACTAATGGGCTCTATGCACAACTCCACTAATTCCCGAACTTAAGGCAGCTATTTTGTTTCCTATCTTTTTCTACTGATTAATGGATTAAACCAGGTGTGCCTTACCTCAGTTACCATGACCAGACACACCAGGGTTAATCAGTTCATCCAGTAATGAAAGACAGGAGACAAAAGAGCTGCCTTAAGTTCAGGAAGTAGTAGAGTTGTGCAGCGAGCCCATTGTTTTGTGATATTTGCTGTTTAAAGCAATATATATGTCAATTTCTTGTCACCATAACATGCATTTCCCTGATGTAGAATCAATCAAATTACATCATCATCATCATTACTGTATATTGTTTTATCTTTGTGACTGAAAACTAGGTTAGTCCAGAGCAAAGCAAGTTCAATATTTCCCCTTCAACATTTATTTTTTTTTCTTTAATTATGACTATATATTTCAGAATTCTCAGTAAAGAAAATGAACTAGTTTGAAATGTGTTATTTAATTGTCACTTTGAAACGTGGTGGGTAAATGCTAAGTTTGGCACAAATGGCCAAGAAACACCAAATATCCTTAGTAAGGAAAACTGAAATCAAACAGCCTCTAAGATAAGAAGTGCATTACAAATTAAACAAACAGAAAAAAAAAATCTGCACAAGAAGAAGTACCTAATTTACAAACTCTAAATATACAGGCCTAAATGTCTCATAATGTCATGAAAAAGTAATTCAAAGTTTTTGGAAGAAACCGAAATAAACAAGCAATAACAAAACTCCAACAAAGCTAATCCTTTATCCTATTTATTCATTTTGTTTTTATTTTTTTAATTCTCAAAGCATACTGAATTAAATATCACTAACAACATTTATTTATTTAATTATCTATCCACCCATCCATCAATCATCCATCTATCCAATGAACAAATCCGGAGCTGAGAACCACAGCAAATTTATGCACAGATTTTGTTATTAGTTGTTATGGTTAGCACTGGCACATATTGGGAGCAATGTGGAAACTTCATTCAGTGTATGCAGTATTAATTAGATGTTTGAGACCATTATGTAATACCTTGGAACTTGAATGTTGGCATTTTTAAGAAAGCCAGTTAAAAAATGGGCAGTTTTAAAAAAATAACTTAGAAATGTCAAATCTAACACAGACTCTAGCTCCTAATCTCTCCTCCCAGAAACATTACAGGGTTGGGATTTCTTTCTTCTATGTGCAAAACAGGGCGTCAGCCGCAAATTAGCCTTTGGTTATTGTTGTTATGAGCGCGCGTCTGTTGTTACAGAGGTTTCATGTTATGTTTGTGAATAAGCTCACTTTCTCCCTCCTATTCTTTTCTGAGAAAAGCCTGTGAAGTGAAAAGTGTGTGAAGAGTAAAAGTGTTCATCCTAATAAGAAAACATGTTTCAATAACCTACAAGCATTTATGAAAGTTTTACTTTCATTTATTTGATGTTAAATACAATCATTTCAAGTTGCTTTTTCTAAACTCTAAATAGTATTCTGATGTAAAAGCCTTTGAGTAATACTTTTGTGGGGAATAAATATACGGTAGTTAATCTCAAACTGCACTAAAAGGGATGCTTTAAAAAATTCACTAAAAAATTCACTAATAATATATTAGGTAGACATTCATGCGCACTCATTTTAGAAACCTCATTATGTTGGCTTAATTCAGAATATGTTGTAAAAATCTCTTTCTGGTCAATGTTATGTCACTTAAACCCATTTGATGATATTTAATTAAAATGCTACTGATAACTAAAGCATTAAAAAAAGAAGTACTTACAGTTTACAGTCATGACTTCCAAAACTATAAAGAGCAATAAAGATGCCAGGTTCATGATGAGACAGAAGGAAGAGAAGTTTTCCTGCAGTGAGAGGCTTAACCAGTTTGATAGCCGTCTAATTAAAGGGGGAGGCATCTCACAGTCACCTGCACTCTCAGGTTTCCAATAGTTTCTATTTCTGTTTCCATGGCCACGTCCTCCTCAGACCAATATATAATTGAAACGTTCTTAACTTTGTCTCGCTGTGTTCATGACCTATTCAGGTTAAACATGTTCTTTGTAATACAGTTTGCGGATTGTTCTTTTAATGTCATGAATTGTTCCAGACAAACTTAGCTATTTTTTATGTGTAATATACATTTTTCTTCCTCTCTGATGTTTTAGCCATGCAAAGACGTCTGTAGTTTCCCATTCATATTAAATGTACATCACACTAAATGAGAGGCGAAAGACTGAAGCTCTCTGTTGCTGTTCATCACGGTCCAGTCTCCCCTCACTGATTTCCCCAGACAGGATTACAATAAGGGTCTTGGCAGTTAAAAGCTGTTATATCAGACCAGGTCAAGGCAGCAGGTCTGGAGCCGGCTGTCATTAAAAATGGAGCAGACCAGTGGCAGGTTTCATTTCAGTTGCCATCCCTCTCAGGAGTTCCTGACCTCAGACGGCTAATAGCCCTCCAAGCTGTCTTCACTTGTGCTGAATGCTGTAGTTGAGCTATATGTCATCCCCTGGGAGCTAACCACGGTTTATTTTCTCCGCAGTTTAGATGCTGCATAGAGCTCAGGACTGCCTCTTATTATATTCTGTTTATGTACACAGCAGCAAATCACAACAAAAGTCCCCAAAGCTAGCAGATTCAATTAATTCCAGTCATAAATCATTGAACCATGCCCATCCTTTGTCTTTTATCAATCTAAGATCGAATCACAAGGTAAACGGGTCCAGGAAGAAAACCAATCCAGGAACTTTCTCCTCCTGATTCTGGGAAATGCTGAGATTTTCACAGACAAGATGGAACATAAATCTCCTAAAACAAGATCTTAGTCTGTCCTGTGGTCTCCTCCTATTAGGGTGCAGACAGAAAAACTGTAGAACCTAGGAGGAAGTTATTGATTTCAGTGTTTAGGAGTAGCTGTTACACAATCTCCATATGAATGAGGCTCATTTGTGCTGCTTGCGTCAATGATCTTATTATTTATATTGATATTTCAGTAAATTAAGTTAATGCTCTTTAGTTCAGACCTTTCTTGGTTCAGACAGATTTTAGCAACATTTGCAACAAGCGGAGAAAATGCTTTAATCCATCTGACAATGTCTCACTTCCTCCAACATTTGCTTGTGAATACAAAACCACTAATCACCCTAAACTATTGATTTCCAAAGTTAGGGTCACTAACCTCTTTGGGGTCCTTGATCAATTCAATTCAGTTGATTTATATAGCGGCAACTCACAACACATGTCATCTTAAGGCACTTAACAGAGACAATTCAACCAGATCATCCAGTCAAACTGATTCAAAGTTTTCTATCTAAGGAAAACCAGTTGATTCCATCCACTCATTGACTCGAAGGCAATCCCTCACACCAAGCATGCTTGTAGCGACAGTGGAGAGGAAAAACTCCCATTTAACAGGAAGAAACCTTCAACAGAACCAGAGTCAGTGTGAGCCGCCATCTGCCGAGGCCGACTGGGGTTCAAGGAGACAGAAGTGGACAAAGAAAAAGAAGCAGACATACATACAATACATAAAATAAACATTTAGTACCTCAGCATCACTTAAAAATGGACAAAAACCAACCATCTTGGTTTTTGATGCTTCTTCTAAGATGGTGAATTGATTTTACTGAAATATTTTTATAATTGACCAGTAATTTGGGTCGACTGTGGTACCCTTTTGTAGGTCATAAGCTAAAAAGTTTGGGAGCCTCTGCCTTAAAGCTATGTGCTAAATAGTATGTTAGTTGCTTTATTGTATGTCTCGTACCATGTCTTTCAGGTTGTGCTGTTCTTTTTTCATCTCATTACAGGTGATGAAGCAGACTGAAAATGTTTTGTCATTATCTCTTCTTTCATCTTTTCTCTTTTTTTTTCTTTTTTCCATTTTCTTCTTCTGTTTTTCTGCTCTATTTACATTGCAGTGTCCATATAAACTGTAAAATTCCCTGCATAATTATAATAAAGCAATTTATATGCTTGAAACAAGTGGAGCAATATGGCAATTGCCATACTGCTACACTTGTGAAAGTAAAATATGTTGGGCTCTTTTTGGCATCGAGACAATTATTCTTATTGCCACATTGCCAGACAGGACACTGTAAAAAAAAATAAGAATAAAAATAGTATGTTAGTAATATCTCTTGCATTTCAAAGAAACGTTTTTCAATAGCACCAGTAAAATAAGTTCGAGAACATTATGTAGATAATAACAGAGAACAAAGATTTGCCCAAGTACTTTTGGCATCACCTGATAGAAGAACCAAACAATAGGTACCTGAAGGGAATTTTACAGAATAGATTTTGTTCAACCATCAGAATTTTAGGGCCACTTAGCATTACATGCCGTATTTCCACAGTAACAAGAGAGTTTTGCACTAATGCATGGTCAGAAAAAAACAAACACCAAACGGTGAATCATTTCAGAAACAATTCCATTACTGTGTATCTGTTGCTTCTTTCTATGATGTACAAAATAACCAAAGTTTTAGTAAACAACAGACTTCTGTTAATCCCAAACTGCATCACATATGATAAACATTAAAAACATTTTTTTTGGCACCACTGCAAAAATTTTGTGACATTAACATTACATGTTAACATCTCTTCCTTAGAAGTGAAAATAAAATAGATTTCACAAGATTCTTTGTAAATTTTATGGCAGTATTCATATGAGGAACATAATAGATATAAGATAATGAGGCTGCTTAAACTTAAAGCTGTGAGTTTAAAATTATAGATAAAAAAAAAGCTGATTTTTCAAAGTGTTGTACTTTATCACTGTCAGGGTTCTACGAGCTGCAATAGTTTTCTTTTAGGGCATGTGCATTACTGATAAAAATAAAATGTCTTGACTTTTTCAAATTCAGATAATCTTTAGAATCAAATTAAAAACAAAAAGTCCTGAACCAAGATAATAAGAGTATCATAAAGTAATAACCTGCTGTTCCACATTGGAAAGATGGCGTGTAAGATTATTTGTATTTATTTCCTGGAAGAAAATACATTAATTTTGAGTTATTCCATAGTTAATCTCATCTAATAAAGAAAAGTGTAATATTCTATCTTGTTTGTAAAGCGCATCACGGAATATCAAGGCGTTTCCAACCTAAATACCATCAGACTTGATAACTTGAGCCTACAGAAAGAACAACACCTCAGCTTTGTTATGTAGAAGGTTAAAGAGTGAGATGACCAAAGCACACAGAAAGATGGAAAGATAAATTCAACAAAAGAGATGCAAAGGGATAAAGTTACATTTAAAAGGCCACGAGGAGAAGACTGGTCTCACCAGAAGCAACGCAGGATTCAACCTTTTATCTTTCAGGTAAGCACTGTTCAGATGTAAGAACAACTTTTTTAATCTTTAGCATAAAAATTTGAAATTAAATTAATGGTACATCTATTTAAAAAAAAAAAAAAAAAAACATGATAAAGTAAATGTTTTTTGTATTACAGATAAACTACGATCAGCAATGACTCTGCAGCAGATTGCTTCAGTGCTGTTGATTTTATCTTCCAAAGAATTTTTGGGTATGTTATTAAACTTTATTTTCAATATAGATCAAAAAAGAAAAATCCATGATTAATATTTTAAATGAATAAATAATCTATCTAAAGACTAGAACTATAAAAAAGTCAATGAACAAGCTTTTAAATAATCTATCTATCTATCTATCTATCTATCTATCTATCTATCTATCTATCTATCTATCTATCTATCTATCTATCTATCTATCT